TGGCGTGTGTGCTGGAGGCGCCGCTCCGCATGAGCGTCCTGTCGGTGAGTGCCGGGCCCGCTGACCTTGGCCCCGGGGCCGGGCCCGCTCTGCCCGCCGGGGCCGCGCTCCTTCCCCTCAGCGCCCCGAGCCGGGGCGGGTTTGCCCCCCCGAGCGGCCCGGGCCGGGGCTGCGGAGCTGTGTCGTTACCGTGGCACGGCCCGGGCTCGGCGGCTCCCGCGGCCCGCGAGCCGCCCGTGCCCGGGGTGCGGAGCGGGGCAGGGGCTCCCTGTGCCCGCCCGCCCTGCCCGCCCGGGCGCGGCTCTCCCCTGGGGCCGCGGGGGGCTCCGGCAGCCCCCGGCACAGCCCGAGCGGTCCCGGGCTGTGCGGCAGGAACGGGGCGGAAGGCACAGCCGGGTGCTGCTGCCCGCGCTCAGGGTCGGGGCTTTTGCTTTTTTTTCCACCCCCAAATTCGCCTGGACACGAACGCCCTTCTGCATGCTGCGGACCTTGTAGCTGGTGGTGTGGGAGTCAGGGTATTTTAGAAGCAGCTGTGGTGTCTCTGAAGTCCTAAAAACTTCTGCCTACAAATACATGGGTCAGACAGCTCAAAGCTGTTCCGAAAAATATTATCTTTCATTACGCGATGGAAGTTTATCTGTAGGGTTTATGTGGCACAATTTAATGGTACTCCTGGAGACAAAGGAGCCCTGCTGTCTCTGGATGACTCTCCTCTGCTAGGTGAGACCAGAGGCAAGGAGCTGCTGCTGCCTCTGACATCGGGGTGGGGAAGCAGGAGCAGAGGCAGTCCCTGAGCAGACACTTGCAAAAGCAAGGAAGAGTTCTGAGTTCCCTTATAGCTTCTCTCAAGGAAAACTCCTGAAGAAAAACTGGGAAAGGCTTAATAAAAATTGAGCTGGCAAGAAGAAGAAGAGGTGAGATAATGGAAGCACAGCCTGGCACGTGTTCCTGAGAACCTGCAGGGAAAATTCCCTTCCCCTTTCCCACCCTTGTTTTTTGGAACGCTTTCCATCTCCAACCTTGGATCTTCTCAAAAGGAATAGCAAATCATTGGTGCATAAATGTGTAGCTTACAAGCGTGGTCCTGTTGCTGGGAAGAGTTTGCTTTGTCTTCTGAAGTGCTGTGGGAATGCTGTGGGGAATATTGTGGGGAATATTGTCCTGCTGTCCCCACTGCAGTTGTGTGGGACAGGCTCTGAAATGTGTAGGTATGTTACAGTAAAAAGTCTTCTTACCAGCTTCCCTGTTTTGGAGAGGTTGTGGGTATGTGTCTTGAGCAACATCAACTGCTCCTAGAAACTTTTTCTTTCAGGAATTCATATTTATTCAGTATAGTAATTAAACATAATAAAACTGCAATTCGAGGCAGTGCTGATAATGCAGCTCATAAATAGCTCTCTGTTACCTTGCTCTGACACCACGTTGTTATCTACATTAAGCACCTCATCTTCCCTAAATCACACCTGAACACAGGGTTAATCCCTGGGTGGATGTTGCCCAGCAGTAACACGTGTCACATTTAAATGTCATTCTGTAGGTTTGCTGCCTCTTGCCTGAGAGGTTTTGTGGAGCTGCTGCTGCATAAGCCATTCCTGTTCTCCTGCCTTTCTCTGAGTTGATATAAACTGTTGCCACTGCTGTTTGTTTTCTCTCTGCAGGAGGTCACAGCCAGCAGCCGCCACTATGTGGACAGATTGTTTGACCTCGACCCCCAGAAAGTCCTGCAAGGTGTCATGTAAGTCATTGGAACACCCCTGGGCTCTTGGCTGTGTGTAGGCTGGGGGTACTCGATCCCACTGGAGCTGCAGGGCAGGGGCAGGAAGCTCTTCTTGTCTTTTTTTTGAGAAATCTAGTTGGCAGATCTTAATGCCAACATGGTTGTATTGCTATAGGGATGGGTAGTATTGATACAGACTCTCTGTAGTGCATATGGGTCATAATGCAGCTTCCCAGTTGCCAAAAATGAGGTTTAACATTCTGTGAACAGTGACAAACTTTTTTGGATACACTTCTTCCTTTTGGCCACTTATTGCTCCTCTTCCAGGTCTGTTGAGACTCTTTTCTCTTCCTCCACTGCTGAGTCAGTGTATTTGCCTCTTGCTCTTCCCCTGCTGCCCTACCTCAGTGTTGGCTTTTATTTTTTTAATGCTTGGCTTCTGTCTCACCATGGGAACTGCAAGCTGAAAGAAAATGCTTCCAGAGAAATCAATTTGGATGCAAATTATATTTCAGTACTTCTGTTGCATGCCAGTGGTCAGGGGCAGTGACTGAGAGAGTGAGGGAAGGACTTGTCCTGCTGCAAAGGTCTGGTTGTTTCCTTGCTGTCCCTGGGCTATGAGCTTTCCATCAGAGCCACACAGCCATGTAGCAAACGAGTCCCTGCCTGGGACTGACTTCTGGTGGTGAAACAGGACCTTTTTGGGCTTACCAGTAACTTGCTGGCTGTGCCTGTCTAGGAAAATGCCAGGAAACATCAAAGGACCGAGTGGATCAGAAAGCCAAGGATATTGGTTGTGTTGCTTAGCACAACCTGAGGCGTTTTCCAGTAGCAGATGAAAACAATTATTCCAAAAGGTACCCCAGGGCAACATATCAGAATTCATGTCCCCTTAAAATAGGTGAAAAACACAAGAGACATGAAAATGTCCTAGATACGTCCTTGGTTGAAATACCCCCTTAGCTGTACAAAACTTGTGGTGCCCTCCCATAGCTCTGTACAGGTTCTTAACTCTGCTGCAGGAGAGTCTGGTTTTGCTCCCACCCCTTGGAATTCCTAGTCCATTCCTGCAGGGGCTGGTGGGGTGGTCCTGGGGCGAGGATGTGTCTCATCCAGTGTCCCAGTGGGGTGACTGAGCCCCTCTTTTCTCCTTGGCAGATGCTCTGAGCCCTGGCTGGCGCTCCCTCCCTGCTCTCCTTTCTTTTCAAAGGACTGGAACCCACAACCCTTGGTAATCCCTTCCCTATCTTTTGATGTGTTATTCATACCTTTTGAAGTTTAACTGATTTCCCAGAAACAGGAAGTTTTAGGCGGCATCTTTGTCTCGGTTAACATCTGAAATTCTTCATCTTGTCCGTGAGTGTCAGTGGATTCTATGCTGAGATGCTTTTCTTTTTATTTAAAGACAAGAAAATACCAATTTATTTCGTAATATCTTTCACTGGGCAGATTTGGATGGTAAAACTGTATTTGTGCTGCTCTGGTTGGAATCTTCATTGTGGGAGTGTGTCTTTGCTGACTCTGAGCCAGTCCTGTGTGGCAGATGTGGTGTTTTCAGGATATTGCTGGGTGGGTGTGAAACAGTCCAATTAAGGGAAATGTATATAAAAAATAGAATTTAGAGTAGCGTATGTATTAAACATTTCTGTCAGCCCAGGGTTCTCTTTGGGCAGAAAAATACTGCTTTTCCCTACTTCCTTTGACTTCAGGGTGTCTGCAGAGGTGTTGAAGTTGGGATGAACTGATGTTTGGGGTGGAGTAGAGCAGGATTTCAGTTCCTCCAAAGTGTCTCTCAGAAGCTTTATCAGCTATGCTGCATCCTTTGCAGAAAGTCTTTGTTTCCTAAGATGTGCTGGTTTCTTTTCCTGCATCCTGGCTGGAAATACTGATGACCTAGATTTTTATTTTGATTGATGGAACTGTATGAATATCAAGCATCAGAAAATAGGCTGTTGTAAGAGGCTTTGTTTCTGCAGATTGTCTTCAGTTACAATAGTCCTGTTTTTAATATACTTGAATGAATAACTTGGGTTTGGGGCCTTTTTTTAATTGCATCCTTGTAATTTTAATGAAACCCAACTTCTGAATGAGCTTTGATAAAGGTAAGATGTAGCTAAATGCTTCTTGAACTTGAAAATCATGCCAGTCCAGTTTTCATCTTGTAACTTGAGAAAGCTTTAATTACATATTCTGGAGGTATTTAAATGATCAGAATCTCTTCTTTTCCTCTCTTTCCCATGAATTTTCAGAGAGGTGGTGTTCAGATTCTCCTTTGTCCAGACAGTGAAGCTTCACCTGGCTGGGAAATTTTTCCTTTTCCTCCTAATGGGAAAACAGAACCCTGTTGTTTGGTACTGCTGCCTGTAGTTCTGTTGATCTCACTTAAAAATGCCAGGTTTCCTGCAGAACTTCTGTTCACATCATTTGTACCACGTTCAGTTGGGTGTTGATAGTGGGTAGGAAGGGGAGAATTTAGAGTACCTGCCAGTAAATCCTGAATTTGAGCTCAGGGTTTGGAACCCTGAGATTCCTACAGGGGTGACCCCTGCCTTTGACAGCACCTGGCAGGGAACCAAAGTGTTCAGGGCCCCTCTCCACACCCACACCTGTGTGGCTGTGTGTGTACCCACCTTCTCTTGACTGTCTTTGTAGATGAGCAAGATTAATACAGTAGTTTCCTTCTGTAAACGTGAACCCTACATTATGGCCATGCTTATGCTTGAGAGATCTGTAGGGTTTGCTTTGTGTCTCCTGAGGTGCTCCTCTAACCCTTCATCTTGTTGAACAGCTCAGATTCCCTGCAGGGAGCTCTGAGTGCACAGTGCAAGGTCAGCACTGTGTCAGGTGTGCAGCTCTCAGGGCACTCGCTGTGGGCAGGTACTGCAGCTTCTCTCTGGGCTTCCCTGAAATGTTTGCTCTTATTGGCAGAGGAGCAGAGCTCTGGAAATTTGTGTTGTTAGGAGAGCTTCATTTGCCCCAAGGTGGTTCCTGCAACATCATCCTGTGCTTTACAGTGGGGCAGTATTTATTTATTGTTTTAGAAACAATTCTGGGTTGTGATCCTTAGGCTACCATTTGCTTTTCACCCAATCTTAAGCTCAGGACCACGTTGTTTAGATGCAAGACTGATACCTAGTTTTGCCCTCTAATTTATTTGCTGGTTGGGGGCTTTTTTGAGAGACATTTTGTCATGCTTACACTTAGCCTGGTGCCTTCAAAGTGGCAATCCATCACTTTGTGGAGAGCTGTGTGATCCTGTCTCAAGGCTGGGTTTGAAAGGAGAATTCTTTCTGACAAATCTGGCTGCTCAAGGTCCCAACTGTTTCTCATCAGTCTGTTCCTCAGCAGTCACAAGGTGTCATCTTATACAACTTGTAAATCATCGTCTTTGTGGTGCACTGAGAATTCCTTATGCTGCTGCTGTCCCTGTCCTTTATGGCCAGCAGGAGTTAGACAAGGATCTTCCAAACTTGTGTGACGTTTTATTGCTCAGGACAACGAAAGAAACATCCTGTGGAAATGGCACTTGGTACTGATAAACCACCTCAGACCCTGTCTGTTCTCCATCCAGCTTGTATTATTTTTGTGTTCTTGGATTTGCCGTGGCTGTTGCAGGCAGGATTGGGGTGGCAGTGTGACAGTGTCCTGTGTTTCTCAGCTGTGACAGTTGGAGGAACAGCAGTGCAGAGTTCACATGTCTGCACGAAAACTGGGTGAAATATAAGAGGCAACTTCGTGGAGTGGGAAGAGAAGAAATTCCCATCTCAGTTCTAATGGAGCAACAGGTACCCCCTTCAGACAGCTGTGAAGAGGCTCCTTCTGCTTCTTGTTCATGTCTGTTAAACAAACCTTCTTTAACACTGTCATGAACAGCACTTGTTTCCACCCAGTGCATCCCAAACAGCTGCAGTGACACTCAGTCTATAGGCTCTTCTGAACCCAAATTTTCTGCAGGAGCTGGTTTTTTTTGCATGTTCCCTTGGCCCTGTGGAAACAGAGCAGCCCTTAGGGGGTTGTTGGTGTTACACTTTGCCCCTGTACATTTTGGGTCAGTTCTGTTGTCTCCCAGACACTGCACTGCAGTAAATGCATGTTCTGCATGGAACCTGGAGGGGTCATTGGCTAAGAACAAGTGATGGAATTTTTGGAAGTGTTGTTTTTGTGCAGAGTCATTCGTGTGGGGAGGCTCCTGAGTGTAGTGTTGGTGCTCTGTGAACTGCAGGAGGGGCTCCTTGTGGCTGGAGCTGGGAAGGGTTTCTGTGGGCTGAGAATGTGACAGAAATCTGAGCAGGTTCAGGTGGTGCTGGGAGTATGACTCGTGGTTTCTCCCTTCCAAGAGGTGAGCTGGGAAGGAAAGCTTTCCAAGGGTGAGGAGAGGAAATGGAGAGGCTGAAACATCATTGGGGAATTAAGCACTGCTCTGTGAAGAGGGGTTTTCCATTGAATGGGGTTTGTAGTCAGATGGAAAGATAGTGCAGAGGGGAGAAGGGAAGCTGCACATAAATCAGTTGTGTTCCTGTCACAGGACAGGGTACTCTCTCACTTTTGTGCTTTCTTTATAATGCAGGTAAAGGTGCAAATGCACAATTGCTTCTTCTGCAAGTAAATTGCTATGTATTGTAACTCCTGGACTGATATTTAGAGGTGGGCTAAGCTTCAGGAATACCTGTGACATTGGCTCAGCAATCTCCAGCCTGCAGGGCTGTTGAATATTTCAAACCTTGCAGTTACTGCTCTGAGCCTGGGAGAGAAGCCTGATGAGGATTGATCTCTTCAGTGCTGCCTTTCAGATGGATGTGAAGCCACTTTTCTCCCAAATCCCTCTCCATACCACCCTCAGAGTGCTGATACTGTTGCTGTGATGGTTTCAGGCTGTGAGTAGGCTGAGGGAGGAGAAGCAGCTTCTGTCAGACTGGCTGGTGGAAATCAGGGAGTATTGGTCACACAAGTCCTGAGGTGGGACTTAGTGACAGACTTCCAGCTGAGCACAGCTGATGCTGCAAGTTATCTCTGAGATCTTAATAAAGGGAGTCTGCCTTCCCTTTATTAATCTATCAGACAAATGCAGAGGGGCTGCCTGCAAGGGAGGGCAGAATGGAGCAGCTGAGGGAGCAATAGTCCTTGTGCCCTTTGGGGTGTGTGGGATGTTGTTAAGGCTGAGCTCAGAGGATGAGCCTGAGGGATGTGTGCCACAAAATCAGCAGCACTGCTGAGTTTGTGATTCTTCATATTTGCAGTTTGGTTTTTTTTTGTTCCAGGCTGCCAGTCCGAATTGATTGGAATCAGCACTAAAAAAAGTTGAATTTACTTACTGTCCAAAAGAAGGTTATTTTCCATTTGCAGTATGGAACTTTCAGGCTGTAAAGGGTTGGCAGTTCAAGTAATATGCACAGGACAGAATTCTGTTTACCAGGTAATTTCTCTACCAGATATTAAGCTGATTTCAGTATACGTGCTGTATTGCAGGTGCTGGGCTGATAATTTAAATGTGTTGAGATTTTTTTTCTTTGGGAGCTGTCAAGTAGCAGGAAGGCTAGCTGGGAAAATTACTTGTTAAAACATACTTCAAACATACATTGTCTGAAATGTCCAGAAACTCCAGAGTGAGGGAGTTTATTTGGATATAGATATTATGGGCTTTCTGTCCTAGTGAGCACTTAGTAACCCCATTTGGAAAATGAGACTAAAGCATGTGGAGGCCAGTGCATCATCTTAGCTTATTTGGAGCTAAAAATCAGAGACTTTGCTTTGTGTCAGGGAGACTTTAGGTTATTATAATCTAATGGGTCATAGCTGTGTCAGATCAGCAGGGTTTGGGGATCCTGCAGGGAGTGCTGGCCCAAGGTGCTGTGAGCGGTGTCAGACAGGATTCCAAGCTCACATCCAGAGCAGCCAAGCAGGTGCTGCAGGGCCATTTTAAGGTATTTTCCTGTACTGAGTGAAACTTTATAGTTCTCCACGTGGATGACTTGTGGTGGACAATGTTCTGTAGATAATGAGTGGTGGGCTTAAAATGGGACAATGGACAAAAGTAACTTCCAATAAAGGGACAGTGCTATAAAAATGTGTGTTACAGAGTGATTAGTGAAATTCATTTCATCTTTACATCAGCTGTGGGAGGTACTAGTGCTGAAGGCAAGTACCATCCTGGGAAGGGAAATATCCTTGAAGGGAGGGAGACAGTAAGAAAAAAAGTAACACAGTTACTTGTATTTGGTGGTTTGGGTCATT